GTTACATTTTTTATTGAGGTTGACGGTTAAACAGTTGATAATGAACAACAATGGTGAATACGTGGAACCCACGAAGTTGCCAGATATGGTCACAATGAGGTTTCTGCGTTGAACCTGGCCTGTGTTTCATGCACCATCTGTATCACATAATACCTTCTTGATTACTCCCTGATGGGAACTTCTCATCAGTGGATTATTTTGGTTGGTCATCCACAATCATGGTCCCACATCTTTGATTTGCCTGTTTATTTGTACTTGGCCATCTGCTCACTGCTTCTTCACTCCTCATGTTGAGAGACAACCTTCATTTACATGGCAACACTCAACTCTGAGCCACGTGTGAGCTCTTTTGTGCCTGAACTGTTTGTCAATGAAACATGTTATAGCCATGTTAACCTCTCCTAAACCAAGGAGATGGTTTTCTTTTGTCAGTTTACAGGATTATGCAAAAGTACTGAAAAGTTTTCCATGAAATTTTGTGTAGAGGTGGGATATGACCCAGGAAAGAATCAAATATAATTTGGAGCAGACCCAAGTAAATACACAGTTCCAGGAAATATTTTTCACATAATTTGTAGCATTTCCCCACAAAGTTAATCTACGGTAACGGGGGGTGCGCCTGTATGTGCACAAACGCAGCTCTCATGAACACCAGATTCCAAGTGACAGGTACACAGACAACTACATTGCAACCACATTAAAGATCTCTTATGTTAAATAGTAACATTTTTGGAGGTTCATTATGAAACTATGGCACAAATTAGAAAATGGCGGGCTGCCACAGTCTAAATAATTAATGGGAAACACTGATTTGACATGGCACGAGGGGGAATTAGCCCTCTAGTTCCAATTACCTTTGAACTCTTACAATTTAGACTCTATATATATATATATATATGTGTTAAAATGTCTCATTAACAGTTTATATGGACAAAAACCAGTGTGAAGCTTAGACTTGCGATCTGGACTGTAAAAAACCTTCCTATTGTCTTCCATTGGTGAACACATTTCAGTCACAGAGATGTTAGTTAAAAGTTAAAAAAAGATTGTTTCTTTCTGTTGTTGCTTGAAATCAGGAAACAAATTTGTCTTCTTCATTCCCAACAAACTCTGTCATCCCTCGAGGACAATTATCGGATTGGGGGCAGCACTCTCTGAAAATACACTACATGCTTTATTTATGCGACCATTTTCACATATGCCACAGTGCTCTCCAGAGTCTGGAAACACATTTTGAGGTGTGATGATGATGCCAAAGTTAGTTTACGTTTAAACTAAGATTCTTTCAGGTAAACGCATTAGAATTAATGGTTCAAATACATTTTGATACCCTTGAAGTTTAGTCCCTTCCTCCTTAGCAGCACAATATATTAACATGATGATAATAAAGCTATAATAAACCACAATAACAGGACTTTTTCAATGCTTCAGTTTTTTAAAAGGATGAGTTCAACCCATGAAACACCTAAGTATTTATTTGTCAAATCATGATATAAACGTAATGCCATATATATCAGTATTATTTGCATCTTGTTTAGCATCAGCAAGGTAAAAGGAAAAGGCAGATTTCTCCTGGTTCCAAATAAGAGACTATCTGTGGTGGTACAGAAGTAGTTAGGATATTAAAGGTCAGATCTATAACAAACTACTATAATATTTAAGCTGTCCCCTGGAACCCCAAAAAAGCCAAAACAAAACAAACTTCATGTAATGCATTTTTTAGCATATTCTTTAGGTCTCTTACAAAAAAACATGCAACATCATAATGTTTTGTTTTTTTTAAAGGTTCAGTGTGTAGAATTTTGTGATATCTAGTGTTGAAGTTGCATGTTGCAGCTGAACACCCCTCACCTCACCCTCTTCTTCTAAACATGGAAAAGAACCTGTGGTAGCTTCAGTTGTCATAAAAACTCAAAAGGTGTTTAGTTTGTCCAGTCTGGACTAATGTAAAAAACATGGAGGCCTCTGTAGAGAGGGTCCCCTCCATGTAAATATAAAGTATTTGAATATAAAGGGTCTTTTCTGGGGTAAAGAAAACTACAATTCATACAATTTAGATGAAACGAACTAGTGAAAACATCATGAGGAT